GGAAGAGTACCTGGTGTACCAGCAGGTTCCTAATAGTGATCCTGCTCGCTGTGAGCTGCGGTGGGGTCCACGGGCCCACGCTGAAACCAGCCCAGTGAAAGTCCTGAAGCACATGTTCAGTCTTGATAGGACAGATCCCAGGTCTTACCCACATCTACAGGAGCAGGCGCTGAGAGAGGCAGAAGGTCTGTCTGAGGCCCTTGAGGGCGAGGATGAGTGACAGGGTGGGGAGTGTGCTGCCACCACGTCGCTGCTTGGTCCCCACCCCACGTGAAATGAGCCCCATTCTCAGGCCGTGTTTCTGCAGAGCAGCACTTTCGTCAGCAGTGAGGCCCAGGGGGGGGTGATGAAGTACTGTGCTTGACAACTTGGTGTCTGTTCTGTTCTATTTGGCTTACTTACAAATTGACAGCTTTTCTTTTATGAGTTTTGACAGCTGTTCCTTTTTTTTGCGAGATTAAGTAGCTTGCAAGTCTTATTTGAAGGATGATACTGATCTCACATGTATTTTTATTTTCCTGTTGGTGTTTGATTGTGATTTTTGACATGAATGTGATTTTGTGTGACATCAATCACACATGAATATTGATTTTCTAATCCAAGTGTAAGAGTTATTCCTGTTTTGTTAAAACAAACAGGGAAACCTTTCATTTTATTTCTGATAAAATAGGATTGTAATAGGAATTTCCTTGGAAATGCATAAGAAGTTTGCATGAAGTTAGATGAAACATAGAAATAGACATAATATAGAATCAATTCTTGTATTCTTATTTCTTTTTCCCTATTTTCCTATACTATTAAAATATATGTGTATCTGAATTGGCTTGGTTTCTTCAATTATATTTGAGTAATTTAGTGTCAATAAGGAAGTCTGTCTGTTTATGAATACATTGACCCCTAAACCTTTACTGATCCTGTGTCCTTTGGGAGTCTCTGTGTCTGTGGTAGAGATACAAGTAAATCAGACTGAGCAGGATCAAAGCTACCCCATGTGATGGTGGAGACCAGGAGTACCAGCAGTGTCAGAAAGATGGTGAGATGTCCTCAGAGACCCAAAGGGCAGATAACAGAGCACAGAAGGGGCAGAGTCTAGCAGAGACCCGTCATGTGTGAGTGCTAAGCCGTGGGAATTTGTGTCTAGGGGTAACTGCAGTTTGGTCTACAGGAGTTAGTTTTGATACAGCTGCATGGTGGCCAGGGCCAGACCCTCAGATAAGTGCTTTGGCTCTGAGATAAAAGCCTTAGAGGATGGAAGACTGCTCTGAGCAGCATTTTAGGTGGTGGATATTAGGTAGACTGAGAGGAATCCTCACGTGGGACAGCTATGAGAATAATTGTCCTACATAGGGCAAGAACCAGGAGATCTACCAGCATCTACAAGGATGCCCAGTATCTACAAGGATTCCCTGAGAGATAAGGGGGACTCTCAGGTAAAGTGAGGCTCTAGAGACCCATCCATGTGCTCTGCTGTCTACTAGGAGTGTCCACATTCCAGGGTCTTTCAGTGTACAGTAGACTGCTTTCCTGAAGACACCTTCTCCTCGTGAGTCCATTTTTGCTCAACACTCAAGATGGACATGAGCATCTGGTCAGTCTCATTGGCCCATTACACCAGTGGTCAGAGGACTACCTGACCAAGTGGTTCTCCCTCTACAGACCCTTCTCAGTGTTCACAAGTGTCTTCCCCCTGTCTTATGTGAGGACTCAGCCTGGGAGAGCATGCTAGTAATGTTGGGATGTGTAAATTTACTTGAAGTTTCTTGGAACTGCATCTGTGCTTAGCTGGCCTTGTCACTAGAATGGACGGGGTTTTAGTCCTCATTGTCACAGAGGCCTCGTAAGCCTCAAGGCTAAACTTTTGGTGACAATGATATGATTGAAAATAGTTTTGTCAGCAGAAGAGGAGCAGGCAGGAGGGAAAATATGATACTTCATCCAAATTCCAGGAGCCTTGAATTTGTTGGTCCCAGCAGGGACAGACTCCTCCACATCTAATCAAGGAATAACTACTATGGGAGAGAACATATGATGGTCAAAGACTACTGAGTAGCATTTTTTCCCAGTTTTCTGTTCAGTGTTTTTGTGAGGTACACCTTCCTGGGAAATTGACAAATTTTCCAGAAAAAGATCAACAGAGTCTGAAGATCAGGTGCTACTAGAACTAGCTGTGTGTCAAGTATTGAATATACAGTATGTCAAATATGCTGCCATGCATTTTAACACATCTCTTACATTCCACTGGCCTCTACAATCAAAATGTGTGTCAAATCAATTTTATAGATGAAGAACCGGAGGCCTATTGGACTTGGGAGCTTCTCAGGATCCTTATGTGGTAAATGACAAGGCCAGGACTGGACTCCCAGTGTGAGGTCATCTAGAGGCCACCCTGTTCCCACTCCTCTCAAGTTGAAACCATCTCTGTTTCTGAATTTATTTCCCTACTCAGAAAAATTAAAAAAAAAATCTTTCAGGTTGTAGAAAGATCCTGAGTTAAAGGCACTGAACCCTGGCCTGAATTAAGAATGTAAGATGAGCGGGCGATGGGTGCACACTACTCCCTGGGAACTGCCCAGAGTCACCTGCCCTCACCCACGGCATGGAAAAGGCCCTGGCTGTCACTTTGCTCACCATGGAAACCCTCCAATAGCAACAGACCTTTTGACATAAAAGTTATCCTTGGACTGTGAAGCTTAGTCCCTGGGTTCTGTGCCTGAGAAGCAAAATAACACACTCTCAAGCTTTCCCAAACAGGTGATAAGGAGTTTGACATGCAGTGTAATCTACTCCTTGTCTTGGAAGGTAAATTAGAACAGTTTTTGAGACCTTCTGGACATTTTTGTAAGAGTTTAATGGAATGATTTACTGGAAAATGTTTATGTAACAGAAATGTATTAAATGACTTTATGAAGTGGCTGAAACCCAAAGCTCCCTGAGAAGCTGTAGGTGAGACAGGACCATGCTCACCACAGTGGAGGACAGAAAAACATCTGCTGTGGCTGAATTCCTCTAACCCTGAAGTCCTTGGAGGAGATGGTAAGTGCTTCTTTGTTAATCTTAAAATGAAATAAATTCAGCTTCCTTCTCAAATCTCTAGTCTGTGTTTCTTCCCACATGGATATAAATATTTTCAATATGCGGAATGGCACTGGACCTGATGTTCAGACCAGGACAGTCTTGTGCGCTGTAGGAACAGCTCACAGTTAGCAGACTGACCATGAGTCTGAAGACAGGGGAAATGCTCAGCCTGCTAAGATCAGAGGTTATTGTGAGGAGAAGTTCTGACAAGTGCCGGTGAGTGAAGAAGAATCCTCCATGGAGATGAGCTTGATGCTATTATATCTGAAGCATCTGTCCCGTAGTAGGTAGCACTTGAAAAGGCTGCAGAATTTCCATGCCTATCTCACCTCAATAACTCCTCCCAGAGTGGAAGTCAATTGTACCTTAACAAATCATATTTGTTGCATTTAGTTGAGCTTCTACTGTGTAACCACTTACAGTGCCACTATACATGCTCACTCTCCCACAGCTGGTCTTCCCCACTTTTTTAGCTGTGGGATCATTACAGATCCCTTGTAATTAGGAAAATTCCTTAGATAATCCTGTGCCACTGAAATATTAGCAGACTCATTACTTATTCATTACAACCATTTCTATAGGAGATGCTGTAGTAGCCTTGGATGCATCCTCACACCATGGCCACACAGCACCCAGACCTTTCTGTTCACATGCATAGGAGGTTCAGCCATGTGTCTTCACACCCTTTGACAGGAGCAAGCTGATTCTGTACCTTGGAAGCCTTGGAGCCACTGCACACATGCTGACTGCAGAGTTTCCTTCATGCTGCCCTCACCCTTCAGGCTCCTGGGCACACCTGTCAATCCCAGCACACCTGTGATGTCCTCCCCAGTGTGAGAGCAGGTGGTGGCCAAAATCACCCAAATCCCTGTGCTGACTGGGGGTTCCCTCCCCCTGTTGCTGTGCCCCATTGGCTGCCCTCTCTTGCACCTGGCCTCAGCCTGCCCAGTTTAGAGCATTCTGCTCTCTGTGTCCCTACTCCCACCTGCTCAAGACAGGGCCTGATCCTAATGGTAACTGTGCCTATCATGAGCTCTTACTAATCTCACTCATTAGTTCTAAGATATCTTTGAAGCTTCCCTCTTTTTTTTTACACATATTACTGTCATAAGTGAAATTAAAATTTAAAATGTGCAAGTGAAATTGATATTTATCAAAGTACAAATTGCAAATAAAATAAAAATTCCCAGCACCGTATATGAAAAATACCACCCTATTTCCCCAGTTTACTGGTATTGCAAAAAAAGATGTTATCAAATGATCAACATGTAGGAAAGAAGGATTAAGTTCAGTTCAGAGTTCCAAAGGATTCAGTCTAAAGTTGGTAGGCATAGCTTTGGTGCCTGTGCTGAGGCAGTAGATTAGGGTGGGGCACATTCTTCATAGAGCTCTTCACCTCATGGAAGCTGGGAAGCAGGGAGAGGAAGGAGGAGACCAACAGCCCACAATCCCCTTCAAGGGTGCTCCTCCAGGGACCTCAGACATCCCAGTATGACCCATCTCTGAAGTTTCCAAGCTTCTCAGTGACCTTTCAGCTTGTGCACCAGGCCTTGAACCCATGAGCCCTTGGGAGGCTCTTAGGCAAACCTTATCAGATAAGTTGAGAGGGGTTAGAATGCAGTTGAAGACAGACTCTTGTTATGACACCCCCTCAATCAAGTGTGGGTAAGAAAGACTTTGGTGGCAGAAATTCTCCTAATTGGAATAGACCAGCACAATACAAAAGTGATTTTTTAATGTGTAATAAGAAAGGGGCTCAACAATAGAATACGTATGAAATTTTGGACAGTGGAAATGCATTTTAAAGTTGTTCAGAGATT